ATATATATATAATATATAATATACATATTTATATACACATATACGTAAAAAACTTTATGATACATAAATAAATAATCTTTTTTAAGTTAAGATTGATTAATAAAATTAGAAACAATGGAATATTCAATATTTGCTATTCGAAAACGTATTAAAAGTATTAGTAAGGTTAAGAATCAATATCACGAAATGAATATACATTAGAATTAGAATTAAATTATTACTTATTTGCTACAAATACTCACTACAAATTGAGTAAATTCAAATAATGGAAGCGATAAACGTATTTTCATCCAATACATACAAATATGATTCCCAACTTCTGGCATGTTGCGAGAAATAATCAATTTTTGAAATAGTTTTTATAAATCTCAAACCATTAAATATCTAACCTGTACACACATATACGAATTGACTCTGATAAAAGCAAGGCATTCTGAACAAAACACTGCAGTCACACAACCGAAAAACACCAAGTGAATAATTTAATCGTCTATAGCAGCAATGACACAGAGAGTTTATAGATGGCACAATCAATACCGTATACATGTAATTTCCTACTTCTAAAATAATTTACAGTTTGTTACATTCATCATATTTTTTTTGTTATCGAGAAAAATCAAATTTTTAACAAAATGAATTATTATATTTTAGTTAATAAATTGAAATAAATAAACTATTGTTCTTTCTATATTTTTAGTACTTTTATATTATGCTGCATAATACACAATAAGACACCAGGAATTCCCACGGTTGGTCTAGGGAGAACAACTAGGAACAACATATTTAACAAAATTTTTCTACTTAAAGATGAAAATGATTCTCTTACAAAATATTAATATATCTAATGCACCAATTATTGAATATAATTTCTGAATGAATATTAATACAAATAATACGTGACAAATTTACTACTAAAGATACATTCGATCAAAAGAAAAGCAAAAGTTATACATAGAACGTATATGTATCTTTTGGAAAAAAATTAATAATTTTCATACATTATGTTTAAGAGATTAATTTCAATAATCGATATTAATATTTAATATTATATTTTATATTTATTACAAAATTATTATAAGCTCCAAAAATATACAATGCACAATATATATATGTATATGAATATGTTGCATGTATTCAGTTAATAGGATACATTTGCACACACATTATGTAGATAATTTTGTATTATTTTATATTACAGATCAAAATCTTTAAATCCATTAACACATGATTTTAAAAGTCAATTTTAGAAATTTATTAAGATTTAAATATGAATTAACTCGATTTTCAATAGATATATATAAATTAATATTTTAAGTAATTAAGATAAAATAGATAAAAATTATAAATTTACAAAAACTTTTAAACTAATTATTTAATACATAAAAATAATTGGAATAAAATACATAATATTAAATTTTACATATTTGGTTGTAAAATATTAATTACAATAATAAATTTATATTTCTAAAAATTATTTGTTTTTGTTTGTTAAACTTGTTAATATCAATAGTTTAAATTGTAATGTATTATATTTATAAAAAATAATATCATAATTTATGTTGATACAGAAATCAATATACAATTCTAGAAAAATATTTTTAATACTGTAATTTTTATCATAAACATATTGAATCAATATCAGCAATTACATATATTCGTTCTTGACTTTAGATTACATGAAACAGTTAATTTAAAAGTTAGTGTTTCCACAGATTGTACTTTTCATAAAACTGTTTCTTGTAATTAGACATTAGGTTTATAATTATATTATTTCAGAATCATGAATATAATTATTTAAAAAAATTTAAACTTTTATCACGTTTTAATGAATTATGAGAATATGTAATGCAAAAAGAAAATGTGTATTTCTATTAAAATATTTATAAAACTATTACTGCAAAATTTTAATTCTTAGTTGTCATAACAATAAAATATGTAATGACATTACATATTGTGATGTATATGTTATTAAAACTATGCTTGATTTTTATATTATTAGTATAATATGTACAGATACAGTTTATAATAGCATTGTTGATATTCTATCAATGGATCAATTACACTTATAATGGATCAATTACACTTATAATATAATATAAAGCTATTTTTCAATAAGCCTGGATTTAAACATAGATTTAAGTCCTCATTAAGTCACAAAAATAAATTAGTAATATATGTGCGTTTGTTAACTTTAAGTTATACACACTTGTAATTTTGATAACTTTATAAAATTGATAGTGTTTTATACTAACAGAGAGGATCTTTTTTGTATTATATTGTTAAAATATAAAATACATAGTAGTCTTTTATGTAAATTTAGTGTACAGTATAAATCTACGCAATATTTTCAGTATTTTCATACTAAATTATTTGTCGTTTTAAAAATTCTTTTTGTGCTTATAGTAAGATTTATACATATAATTTTCAATATGCTTAGTATTTGTAAATATATCATATAAATTTGATCATAACTTTTATGTAACACACAAAATTAATAAATTATTTTCAAATTATATATTTCTTTACAAATTTTCATCAAATGTAATGAAATTACTAAATATTCATTCTTTTTTTTTAGACAAAATAAAGCATACTGTTAATAACTTCATCTAATTTGAATTGTATTGTACATGAAAAGATCCTCTATAAAAGCAACAATTATTCTTTAAATTATTATACAATATTTTAGATTAAATATTGTACTTTTGATAAGTATTGCAGCTAAGAGGACACTATATATCTAAGCATATTTATGATATTTTGAAAATATCATCAATTAATTTTTAAAGCAAGACTATATAAAGCTAAAAATCGTTTGCAGTGATCGAAATTGCAATGTAAATATGTAGCATATTTTTGCAAAAATATTAACGAGTCATACATTTGTTCAATGATATATTAATTATCATTAATTTTTATAATTTTATAGTATTTTTCGAAAGACATGGCACTATGTACATATGTGTTATCAATGTTATTATATTCGAAATATGTTTATTAATTAGTTTTAATAATTTTCATTTGCGATTTCAATCATGGTTGAGGCTTCATTTACTGATATTTAAAAAATAAATAGGAACATAATTTAAATAAATCATACGTCCATTTAAAACAATATCATAAATTATGATCACAAATGATCCAACTTGTTTTACAGTAGCATGTTTGCGCCAGTTTTAAATAAAATTACATCATATATTTTGCTTTAACAAGATATGAAATAAATTTTTAAAGAATTTTTATGTAAGAAACTTCACTTCATTAGATCTTTGTTTTTCTGTATCAATATCTTCAAAAAGTTTAAGAAATATTAATGTTTTAAAAATTGTATACACTTATACATACTGTATCACAAATTTAGATTATAGAAATTGTGTCTTCTAATGTGTTCATTAGATGTGCAAAATTTTACATTTATATATCCCTGAATAAAATTTTTTGAACCATATTTTTCTCAATGAATGGGAAAAATTAGTTCATAATTTTTCTTTATCAGATACTGTAATGAAAAAATAAAGAAATAGATAAAAATATTTTGTATGATAACTATTTTTATCTTTTCAATGTCAAACAATTTAAAATAATTCTGTTCAAAGATTAAACATATAGTGATATTTATTTGTAATTAAAGTTCCAAAATGCTTTTAGAATATTAATTATCAATAGAAACATCTTTTATATCATCTTTACTGATATTTTGATTCATTTGATCATTTTCATATTCTACAAAGTCATCAAATAAACTTGGCCATGCTTCTGCATCATCATAAATACTAAGATCATTACCAATACTTTCAGCAAAATTTAGAAACATATTCCATGTATCTCTAGGTATACCTCGAACATGATGACACTCAAGAAATTTAAGCCATTTTGACAAAAGAGGAGGTTCACATATTGTGAAAACTAATTTCCACAAAACAATTGCCATATCAGCTGGTAATATTCTTTGACCAGAATTAACATCTAAGCCAAACCGGAATGTAAATCGATAGAGATCTTTGAATAAACCACTGTTTATAGTTAATTCTTGAACAATTTCCGGTAATCTTGCTTGTATACCACGTATACTGTCTACTTTCATTGCTTTCAAACCTGTTACAAATTCTTGACGTGTAAATTGGCACATCTGTTTAGCATTTAATTTCCAAGCAAGAACAAGTACTTTAAATTCATCTGGTGACAATTGTAAATCATTACAAAATCTTTCTATACCATCAGCTAAAATTACATCTTCATGTGAATCCTACAAATAAAGAAAATTGGATTTCAATAAAAAAATAATTATTTTTAAAAGATTATATTCCAAATACATTTTTTATATAAAAGAAAGTCAATAATCACAAATACAACATTTAATAACAGTTCTTAATTGTGTTACAATTCAATGTAGTTAAATAAGTAATAATTAATACTTTTGTTTATAAAAGTAAATAGTAGGTTATAAAAAGTAACTCCAATGTAATAGTGATAAAAATTAGTATAATAAAAAGAAAACTCTAAACTTCACCTTATATTGGTCAAATAAAGCATTTAACTTGCTCTCTGATGGTTCTCTTTGTTGCTTTGATTCAGTGGTTGTATTAAGACCAGATGATGTTCCAGATCTACCCAATGGTGATAATTGTGCATAGAATCCTCTTGATGAACGTAAATTACTTTGTACACTAGGCATAGATCCACAATTATCAGACCCAACATTGTTGAATGTTGATAATGTAGTTACTGATTTTCTGTTTCCATTTATATGTGCTTCAGGCACTAAGGGCCCAGTTTGTTGACAAGAATTTAAGAATGACCCTCTCAATTCCATTGTTTCTAAAATCATTGTAATATATGATATTAATAATAATAAAATGTATTAATAAAACTTCAATTGTATAAAATTTAATTTTCGCATCTAAATGAAACTGATATAAAAAAATCAAAAACATTGTTTTTACATGTATTTATGACATATACATACATATAAAATTAAAACTAACATCTATTGAACAAAATAAAAGGAAATAAAGATTGAAAAAAAATATAAATTAAAAACTATATACATAATAACTAGAATAATCATATTACCGTCTTTATAATCAAACGATGAAGATCTAGTAGCAGTGGCTGGTGGAAGAGACACCTTGAAGCACGAAAAGCAGTTTCCCATTGATGCTGTCCGTATTTAATGTTAAAGACGATTATTCCATGCATCAGTAGTTCAGTCTTACATTGGCAGTCTTGATCAAAAGCTAAATAATAATACGTATAATATTACAATTTTATTTTCAACAAAATATATCTATTATAAACATTCATACATTTTTAATATATAAGTATTTTAAGTAACTGAAAGTTTTCAAATATTATATGCTGATTAAAAGTCATAATATTAATAGAATAATTTTTTTTCAATAAATATATAAAATAATTATGTTACTGAAAATATAAATTTAGCAATAAATAAATTCTAATATATTGTTTTAAGTATGTGACTTCATTATTAAGAGAGTGTTTTGGTATTAACCCTAGATTGTACAATAAAGATTCTTTACCTTATTATTAAGGCGGATTTTTGGTCTATCTGGGTCGTAATATCCCCAGTAAAGACCCCCCGCAAAATATCTTGCTTTGCCTTCATTCATTAATTTTCATAAATTATTTATATGGTAATTTATTGCAATTAAAATTAACAAAATGTTTCGGTTCTAATTCTTTTGAACATTTCTTTTACATGACTTTTAAAATGAATTTGTATTTGACTAAACAATACTGTCATTTGTATAAACGTAACCTCATCAGACAATACAATGACAGTATCATTCCACACATGAAATATATATTTCAACCAATTTATTTCGTGTTATATATTAACAAAATCTGTATATAAAAAACACAGAAAGAAGGATATATTCTTTGTACTTCAACATATAATAAAAAAATCCCTTTAAAATGAAGCAACAATGAAATCTCTTTACTTTTTCGTAAATTCAGTGTTGATACGTTATAAAAATAACAGTCACTAGAAAAAGCATCTAGGCATTTACATAAAATTATAAATGTACATGAAGAAAGTTATTATTTTGTTTATTAACTCATTAATTTAATTTTATAAATATTTCAAAAACACAACTAAAGAATATAGTTAAATATATATATATCGCAAAACAATGTCCAATATTTTTGTAAATAATTTATTATTTGTTACAATATACTGCACATTTTATTTATATATTTATAATATATAGTAGTTTTGACAATAATAATTATTTTATAAGTGAAATTATTTATTTTAAAAGTTCGAAATTATTAAGGATTTCAAATCTATATGCAAATTATTTGAAGTAAATACTAACAGTAAGTGTTGTAATTATAAATAACAAAATATATATATATATATTTACTTAAAGAAATACTTTATTATAAACTGAAAATAATTTATTATAGAAAACATAGTTATAAAATTAACGCAATTTATTAATGAATATTTAATGTAAATTAAAAAAAATAGATTAATTTTCTATAATAATATAACAAAAATTATTTAATAGTGAACATAGTTATTACATGATTATTAAACTACAAGATTAAAGTTTAAAAATATAAACTTAATTATAATATTAATTATATTTTAGTTTTATCACATAACCTTTTATTTTTGTTATAGAATATAATACTGATTTAATGTAAACATCATTAAATGTACTCTCTCCGTGTTTTTCATATATTCTTTCATCTAAAAGATATATATATATATATATATAGAGAGAGAGAGAGCGGAAGAGTGAAAAAGTAAGAGAGGGGATAGTTTTAACTTTAACTCAGCGTGGTTTTGACAATTGAGTAAAAACTAACCAAGCAAACAGCATAGTTTCTGAAAATAATCTGTAAAAAATAGTACTGCTACATAATATTTAATATTAAATTTTGGTTGAAATTCTTATTGAATTATATCATTTAAATAACTGTGAAATAAATAATCAATTTTAAAGTGTAATATCTTATTATTATAAATCGCATGTAATTTATAAAATACATACATTTTCTTAATTACGACAATATTACGTCATTTTTTTAATTATAACAATATTAATTAAGTTAGGAAAAATTAGAAATTACAAAAATTAAGTAATTTTTCGGCAAGTACACATTTCTATGATTGTTATGTGATTGTGAATTTATAATATCGATAAAATCATTAATATAATTTTATTCATCTTTAAGTCGTCGTTAATAGTGATAAGAAATATAATTAATAGTGATAAGAAAATTTATATAAACTTGGGTAACCTCATTTTTAATTAAAAAATTCCTCTTTTGGAATGAATAAAAAGAAATTGAGTAATAAATTTTTCCATAAAAGATTGTAAATTTATAATTGTCTAAAATTTTTAATAGATTCATATATCTCTTTTCTATTGTATGTTACAGATAAGGTGTATTAATATACTCAAACAAAAAATGCCAGAATTACCACGAATTACAAGATCATTGCGAATGTTTACAAATCTTGGACGTATTAAAAGTACAAAGGAATTAGAACCAAATGACTTGTTCAAAAAGAAAGAAGAGCAGTATAATGAATCAAAATGGTACTTTATAATAATATTTTCTAGATTATATATAGATATATTAATTAATTTTTGCAAGAAATTTCTTTGTTAATTTTAATCTTGTATATGATATTTCGCTATTTTCAGTTCAAGGAAATATTCTATATGTCTTGATAATAATATTCTTATACTACTATAAAAAGTTCCTTATGTTAAATACAATAATGCTACAAATTATTGATATATTTTTAAATAGCTTTTAAACATTAAACAATGGAAATATTTAATAAAAATTTTTTGTATAATTTGGTTTATGTAATTGAAGATTTATAAACTACTATTTAATGACTAAGGACTTTATTAGTTTATAAGTTCTTATAAATACTTTCTAAATAACAAAGTATAATAATCTGTCTAAAAAAAATTGTTTCTTTACAAAAAAATTATTTACGTAATATAATATCTTCTATTGTGAAAACAATTCGTTTGGAAATAATTTTTTTATGTTTTTAATTACTAAATTATTTACAACTCATTATAATAGATTTACTTTATAATTTATTATAAACGTTATACTATTATGTAATCAATACTTGTATGCATTCCAGTGAATTCAGTTGGCAAGATTTATGCAATTATGTACCTAAGGATACTTTATTCCATATGAATGAGTTACGCAATATTGTTGTAGAAATACTTGGTATGTAATAACTTTGAATGACAAAATGAAAAGTTGTTATTTAATTTTTATTATTTTAGGAGAATGTTCTTCTAAAGTCATAGATGAATTTTTAATGTTTACTTTACAATTATTAATCAATGAAGAGGAATTAATACAAACAAAATATAAAATTTTAAAAGAAAGAGCAGCAAATTTAATATTTCAAGATGCTAAAAATATGATGAAAGTAAATATATCTAATTATAATAAATTCTATTAACAATTTACATAGAATTAATAGTGATTTATTGTTATATTTATTAAATTTATTGTTAATATTAGACTAATACCAATATTTTTATAAAACGAACTTATTTGAAAACTAATGTATTTAATTTGAAAAATTAATTGCATAGCATTTATAGAGTATTAAATTATTTGAATCAGTGTATTATAGGAAGCCCCAAAACTATGAATATAAGTTCAACTGGTGATCAAATATCATAAATTCATAGCAAAACATTATAAAAGTTTCTTCTTTGAATGAATTTTATTTATAATACTTTTCATAAAATACTTGTTTCTAATAATATAAAAATTTGTGAACTTTTTTTTGGTATAAATTTTTTATTTTTAAATTAAACTAAATTTGTATACAAAAACTAACTGAAATTTGTATGTATACAAATAATAAAATTATAAATAGTATGCATTATGTATTTGTTAATTATTATAACAATTACAGATAATTACTGTAATCAGGAAAACATTAAATGAAGATGTCTTGATACTTATAAAAAGTAGAAATGTTGGTACTAATGAAGTATCAGAAAATGAGATATTTGATCCAAACATTGAATACAAGTCTGCAAGAATAGTGTGGCCAGATACTGAAACACTTCGCAGTATGTTTCCAAAAAACATTATTCAAAATACTGATAATTTTTCAATGAAATATAGAAATGAAACCACAAAATTATCTAAAACTGAAGTTTGTATTAAATTTGTTTATATTACTGTTTACTTTTAAACACATTTTAATTACAGCTATAGTTTTATTTCAGTTTGATGTGACAACATATAAAGAAAATTTGAAGTTATATCATGCAAAGAAATTTATGTACATGACATTAGAAAAATTTGAAATGGCCATAATCACTAGATTAAAGGATTCTGAAAATTTACAAAATGAATTATTTAATTTCTTAGGTTATGAATGTATAGAGCTGATACAGTATATTCTTCAGCATAAAAAAAGTATCATAACTTTGAATTCTGTTGCAAAAGTACAAAAAAAATGTAATGTTCAAAGACCTGTAATCAGTGGTCAAGTAACTGTACAATCTGAAAAAGAAAAGCAGTTATTAAAATTAATACGAAAAAAAGAAAAAAAATTAAACAAAATATCAAGTAAACGAGAAGGGAAAGGAGAATTAGAAGAAAATGGTTTTGAATCAGTAGAGTTGTGTTTACAAAAAAATGAAGCATTAATAGAAATGCATACACCTATATTTAAAAAAAGTATTACTGATAGAAATGCACGAGAAATTTTTCCCTTTGTATTTGATTCCAATGTAAGTAGTAGAAGTACAACTGGTTATGTATCAAAGCAAAAAATAATGTTACCGCAAGATGTTGTAAGAAAAGACACAGAAATGTATGAAGAAGTTTCCATACCTATTCCAGAATCTCAACCAATTGATGTAGATTACAAACCTGTTATGATATCATCATTAGATGATATTGGACAAATGGCTTTTAGTGGCATTGAATCATTAAATCGAATACAAAGTATAGTATTCGATGCAGCATACCATACTAATGAAAATTTATTAATTTCTGCTCCAACAGGAGCTGGTAAAACTAATGTTGCTATGTTAACTATAGTACATCAAATAAAGCAACATATTAAACAAGGTCAATTAATGAAAAATCAGTTTAAAATAATTTATGTAGCTCCAATGAAAGCTTTAGCAGCTGAAATGACAGCAAATTTTAGTAAAAGACTTCAGTGTCTTGGTATTTCTGTTCGAGAACTAACTGGAGATATGTCACTAACAAAGACGGAAATTCAACAAACACAAATGATCGTTACTACACCTGAAAAATGGGATGTTGTTACTAGAAAAGTAACCATTTCTCTTACTAGTATTGTAAAACTATTAATTATTGATGAAGTTCATTTGTTACATGGTGATAGGGGGCCTGTTGTTGAAGCATTAGTTGCTCGAACTTTAAGGCAAGTAGAATCTTCACAAAGTATGATCAGAATTGTTGGACTTTCTGCAACTTTACCCAATTATGTAGATGTTGCAAGATTTTTAAGGGTAAATTTACATGTAGGACTCTTTTATTTTGATCATCGATTTCGACCTGTACCACTTAGTCAAACATTTATTGGTGTAAAAGCAACATCATCGTCACAAGAAATGAGTTACATGGATTCCATATGTTATGATAATGTCATAGATATGGTACGTAAAGGACATCAAGTAATGGTATTTGTACATGCACGAAATGCCACTGTTAGAGTGGCAAATGCACTGAAAGAGTTAGCAATACAAAATGGTACACTTAAATTATTTATACCTGAAGGTCAAGCAAAATTTACAAATAAAGCCTTTGCTAAATCACAAAATAAATGCTTAATTGAATTATTTAATAATGGATTATCAGTACATCATGCTGGTTTATTGCGTGGAGAAAGAAATTTAGTTGAAAAATATTTTGCAGAAGGTTTAATTAAAGTATTAGTATGCACATTAACATTAGCTTGGGGTATAAATTTACCAGCACATGCAGTTATTATTAGAGGAACAGAAATATATGATGCAAAACATGGTTCATATATTGATTTAGATATATTAGATGTTTTACAAATTTTTGGGCGTGCTGGTAGGCCACAGTTTGATGTATCTGGTCATGCTGTTATTATTACTTCTCACAATAAATTATGTCACTATTTATCATTATTAACAAATCAAATACCTATCGAGAGTAGTTTTATTAAATACTTGGCTGATAATTTGAATGCTGAAATTGCATTAGGTACAATATCAAATGTAGAAGAAGCTATAAAATGGTTAAGTTATACTTATTTATTTGTTCGAATGAAATTAAACTGCCATGTCTATGGAATTCCATATCAACTTATTTTAGAAGATCCAAATTTGAAACGGAAAAGAAAGGAGTTAATTGATACAGCAGCTAAAGCATTAGATAAAGCTAGAATGATTCGATATAATACCAATACTGGAGATTTAAGCACAACAAACTTAGGACGTATTGCAAGTCACTTTTATCTCAAATATGACACCATTGAAATATTTAATGAACTTATAAAACCAATTATGACTGAATCAGAAATATTTACTATGATATCTCATTCTCAAGAATTTGAACAATTGAAAGTACGAGAAGATGAAATACATGAATTGGAATATTTAGTTAAAGAATATTGTGAACTCATAGTTCAAGGTGGTGTAGAAAATATACATGGTAAAGTGAATATTCTATTACAAACATATTTATCACGTGGTATTGTTCATTCGTTTTCACTAATATCAGATCAAGGATATATTGTGCAAAATGCAGAACGTATATGTAGAGCATTGTTTAAAATTATGTTAGGACAAAATAATGCAATAATGGCTGGCCGTTTACTAGAAATAGCAAAAGTGCTTGAAGTGCGACAATGGAGTTATAACAGTCCTTTATGTCAGTTTTCATGTTTATCTTCAGAAATCATTGATAAAATAGAACAATATGATTTAACAATTGATAGATTAAATAATATGAGTGTGAAAGAAATTGGAAATATTTTGCATAATCGGAAAGCAGCAGTATTGGTGAAAAAATGTTGTGAAGAATTACCTGCTTTAGAAATGGAATCAAATTTACAACCTATTACTCGTACAGTCTTAAGAATACGTTTAAAAATATATCCTCAATTTCGATGGAATGATAGCTTTCATGGTAAAACTTCAGAACCTTTTTGGATATGGATAGAAGATCCAGATAATAATTTTATTTATCATCATGAATACTTTGTTATGACAAGAAAAATGGTTTGTAACAATCTTGAACAAGAACTTGTAATGACAATACCATTGTATGAACCATTGCCTACTCAGTACATAGTAAGAGCAACAAGCGATCGTTGGTTGGGTTGTGAAAATATGCTGCCTTTAACATTTCATAATTTAATATTACCAGAAGTATATCCACCATATACTGATTTATTAAATTTACAACCATTACCAGTTAAAGCATTGAGAGAACCATCATTTGAAAAACTTTATAAATTTTCTCATTTTAATCCAATACAAACACAAATTTTTCATTGCTTGTATTATACAAACAATAACGTTCTGTTAGGAGCTCCAACTGGTTCAGGAAAAACAATTGTTGCAGAAATTGCCATGTTTAGAGTATTTAAACAATATCCAATGCAAAAAGTCGTTTACATTGCACCATTAAAAGCTTTAGTTAGAGAACGAATGAAGGATTGGAAAGTTAGATTTGAAGAACAACTGGGGAAAAAAGTAGTAGAATTAACTGGAGATGTATCACCAGATATTAAAGATATAGCAACTGCGTCTGTTATTGTGACTACACCAGAAAAATGGGATGGTATTAGCAGAAGTTGGCAAACAAGAGCTTATGTTAAAAATGTTGCACTTATCATAATAGATGAAATTCATCTATTAGGAGAAGATCGTGGTCCTGTGTTGGAAGTTATTATTTCGAGAACTAATTTTATTTCTAGTCACACTTATAAAAAGTTGAGAATTATTGGACTTTCTACAGCATTAGCTAATGCAGTAGATTTAGCTGATTGGCTTGGTATTGGAGAAATGGGTCTTTATAATTTTCGTCCGTCTGTACGACCTGTTCCATTAGAAATTCATATAAATGGATTCCCAGGAAAAAATTATTGTCCACGAATGGCAACAATGAATAGACCAACTTTTCAAGCAATTAAACAACATGCACCATCTAAACCATCTTTAGTGTTTGTTTCATCTCGCAGACAAACACGTTTAACTGCATTAGATTTAATTGCTTACCTTGCAGCAGAAGATAATCCTAAACAATGGTTACATATGCTTGATGAAGAGATGAATAGCATTCTAGATCATGTACAAGACTCAAATTTGAAACTTACTCTTGCTTTTGGAATTGGACTTCATCATGCTGGTCTTCAAGAGAAAGATAGAAAAATTGTTGAAGAATTATTTGTTAATAATAAAATTCAGGTATATATTTGAAGTCAATTTTATTTATATTCTAATTATTTAATCATCATATCATAAAATAAATAATACCTTATTCTTTAAAGAAAAAATATTTCAAAAATATTTTAAAAATAAATTAATGTATTAAATAAAATATAAAAAAGTTGAATAAATTTGTCGAATACAATTTTTGAAATCTAAACTAAAAATTATATATAAAGATTCTTAATTATATTTCTTTTTTATATTGTGTATAATACACATTATGTTATTAACAGATATATAATACATATTTTTTTAAATATAATTGTAAATATTCAAACAGATTATTTCATAAAAATATTATGTTTAGGTATTGATTACAACAGCTACTTTAGCTTGGGGAGTAAATTTTCCTGCTTATTTAGTTGTGATAAAAGGTACAGAATATTATGATGGCAAACAACATCGTTATGTAGACATGCCAATCACAGATGTGCTTCAAATGATGGGTCGTGCAGGCAGGCCTCAATTTGATAATTCTGGAGTGGCAGTAATTTTAGTACATGATTTAAAAAAAAATTTTTACAAAGAATTTTTATATCAACCATTCCCAGTTGAATCAAGTTTATTAGCTGTTTTACCAGATCATATAAATGCTGAAATTGTGGCTGGTACAATTAAAAACAAACAAGAATTATTAGATTATTTCACTTGGACTTATTTTTTTAGAAGATTAATGAAAAATCCTAGATATTATAATCTAAATGCTTTAGAACCTTATACAATTAATCAGTACTTATCTTCTTTAGTAGATAATACATTAAAAGTGCTAATAGATTCACATTGTGTGGATTTTGACCAGGTATATAAAATAATATAAAAATTTTATTTCTAACTTGTAATTAGAAAGAGTAATTAAGAGAATGTTTTTACTGATTTTAGGAGGAACAAATTTTGTATCCACTTTCAATGGGTAAAATAGCATCATTTTATTATTTATCACATCAAACTATGTCAATGTTTGAACAATCATTACAAGATTCTCTTACATTGGAGCAATGTTTACATATTTTATGTAATTCCCATGAATACAATGAATTGCCAGTAAGGCATAATGAAGAATTATTAAATGAGTAAAGTATTATTTTTGCTAATAAAGAAAATAACATATTTCGGAAATTTCATTTTATTTTAATATATGTAATATTTAAATAGGGAATTAAGTAAAATGTGTCGTTACCAAGTAGATAATTACTCATACAATTCTCCACATACCAAAGCATTTTTATTACTTCAAGCACATTTCTCAAGACTTTCTTTACCATGTGTAGATTATATTACTGACTTGAAATCAGTTCTAGATCAGGCAATTAGAATTATTCAAGTACGTATAATTAACAGAAAAATATTATCTTTCTTTTTATACATTATAATTAAAATACTTTTTTCAGTTAATATATATTTGCTTTTAGGCAATGATAGATACAGTTGCAGAACAGACATGGTTAGCAAGTACACTTATGATAATAAATTTACTTCAGATGATTATTCAAGCTCGATGGATTGATGAATCAGCAATTACCACATTGCCATATATAAATTCAGAACATTTACAATTATTTTCAACATTGTCACTAATTCTCCCAGAATTATGTTTTATTGCATACAATAAATATGGTGTACTTACAGAAGTACTTGGTAAAGAATTTCAGGAAGAACAAATACATCGGGTAAATATATAAGATTTCAATATTTTGTTGTGTTTTATAATATTTTATTATTTATATAATATCTGATATGTACGTAAATTATTAGTAAATTAACAAATATTAGAAATTAAGGTAAATCAAAATCAAATTACTCATTGTTAATAATTTTTTAGATATACCAAGTAATGAAAGAAATGCCAATGATCTGTGTTCAGTTACATTTAGAAAATCATGATGAAGAACAGAAAAAACAGGTTATACCAATAAAGTATGACAGTTCTGATTATATAAATATTCATAAAGATCAAGATTATATATTAAATATTGGAATGAGAAGAAAAAATAAATCTAATAACTTGAAAACACATAGTCCCTTGTTTCAAAAAGGAAAAGACGAAGGTTGGTTTCTAATTTTAGGTAATATTTTGGATAAAGAATTATTAGCTCTAAAACGAATATGTGGAATAAATGAACAACATAAATGTCATCAATTACAATTTACAGCACCATCAAAACTAGGTAATTTTATTTTTGTTCATATTTATAATTAATAATATATATATTTTTATCATATACAACACTAGTATTCTTTTTCTAATAAAAATTTGTTTTGTTTTAAGGACGAACAACGCTATCATTTTATTTGATGTCTGATTGTTACATAGGACTGGATCAACAATATGATATAAAAATAAATGTAACATCTTAACCGTTTGAATGCAAAGAAATATTGCAAAAATATTATCGAAAAGCGCCAAACGGTACAATCACACTTGTTTCCATTTATGCTGAAAAATGTCAATTGGTGCAATCGTGCTTTATTCACCTTAAGTATCTGTAAGACTGAGTACATGTTACGGTAAAATCCGAATGCATCGTTAATCGCATATTGCTACCCAATGTAGTGGCACTCTTGGACATAACATCTGAAAGACATTACGCTACATAGCACTAAAGCAGTTAGTATAAATCTTATCTGATTTAGCAAATGTGTTACTTTTTTCTAAGAGGTAAATATAAACAAATTATTTTACTAAAATCTATTGTTATTTTATCGATATTTATAAAGTTGTTTTAATAACTCTAAGTACTACAATAAAATATATATTTAAATTTAAAAATCTGTAAATATTTTTTTATAGTGCATATAAATTTATATATATTTCTTTTATTTATTACATGACTATGAAACAATATGTGTACACACACACACACGCACGCCACACACACGCACACGCACGCCACACACACGCCACACACACGCACACGCACGCACGCACACGTGTATGTATATATATATATATATTTTTATATATATATATATATATATACACATATAGATTGTTTTATATTTTTCATACAAATGTATATCTTATTAATTTAGTATACAAAGATAAAAAAAGTAACATTTGAAGGATCAGTTTTATAATTTTATATATTATGGATTGATAAATTCAGTTATATATAAAAATATTAAAAATAACAGATAAAATCATATCCAACGTTGAATGTTAGTTCATTTTATTATAAAATGAGTCTCATAGATCATACATACAATTTAATACAAAAATGCTTTACTCTAACAATAGTACTTTATTAAATGTAAAAGAATACCAATAATAGTAATATATATTGTGTACACGTTTTTTCACACTGATCCTCCTTCATACATATATAGTGATATTGTAACAATACAATATTAATTTGTAATTTCTTATACTAACGAGGAATAACAAGATAGTATATGGTAGGAAGGATATGAGATCATTTCATTGCTTTGTTTTAAAGAGAACATGATTAAGTTATATACTACTTATCTGTAATATTTCACATGATATTGATCAGTGCAGACTGTTCACTCTAGTGACCTAGAAGAGATACACTTTAGCTCTAGATATTTAGTTTTAAGCTTATACAAATCCCTGAGACAAATAATGCAATTTGTGTCAAAGTATTTTCTATTTATTAATTTTCTTAATATTTATTGTCCTAGTAATCAAAAATAAACGTTAAACATTACTAAATTAAGTTTAAAAATTATATTTGAAGTAATAAATAATAATTGTATATTAACAATATATTTTTAATTCACAACTAACATAATCAAATTCACCAAATGTAATAAACATCTTACTACATCTAAATTATAATTTATAAATATTTCAATGCTTTAACGTTTTATAAACAAAATATAATTATTCCTTTTGCAATTTCTTTAACTTATTTCATTAAAATTTTAGACTAATAACACCAATATTAAATATTTTCTATTATTTCATATGACTTTTAAAGCTGTAATAAAGTTGATTACATAAATTAATAGTTTAAATATTTTTTTTTTCAATAGATTAAACCTTTCCCTTTTTTATCAATAGATTGAACCTTCTGCTTCTTTAGTGTACATAAAATGCACTTTATATATTATTATTTCTGTAATTGTAGTACTAATCAAAGCAAAGAAATACTTAAGCTCCTTCCATAATGGAAATTTGGAAGTACTGATTATTTCTTGTAAGTAATAAACCGAAATATTTTTAAAGCACAAAATTTAACAATAGTACATTTCTACTCATCACATTCATTACAAATATTATTTTTTTTCTCCAATAGTTGAGAAAATTTCGCACAATATAATAAATTCCAACTCGATTTTAAATGTTATTACTTCCTTTAAATACAAAACGAAATTTAAAAAAATTATAGTTAATTTATTTTTATGATTATTAGATTATTACTGCCGTTTTTTTAGTACTTTCTTTCTTTCTGTAAAATTTTTAAATAACAATAATATAAATGTATACTGTATCACTCAAGAACTAAGGAAGCACTGGCATAACTAACAGAACTATCATTCATATTATTGCACTGATTGCTTTGAGCATACTTAAGAAACTTCAAGTTCATTCTTTGGCCATTAGTATTCCCTTTTAAACTATGAATTGCCTGTCAAAATATCGATTATAATTTCAAAAACTATATCTTATTTCATAAAGGTTGTTAATGTTACAACTTATAATTATGTAAAATTTATTAGAGAAATTGTTAATTTCCAAATATTGGAGTTCTACATACACATAGTAGATCAAAAATTTATGTTTGAAATATTTTTTCAATAAAACTTTTGTAATAAAATATTTTTTTGATAAAATAACACAGATATATTATACAAATATATATATTTCATACTAGCTGGATTTATTACTAGTTAGATAAATTTTGTTTTGTGTATATAAATTGTGTATTGAGGTTGACATATAATATCGATTATTATGAAATATTAATTAAGACAGTTCTATTCTTTAGCTTAGAACAAAAAATACAAGATGAAATTTTTTTAATTTAAAAAGTTAAATTCTTTATAATAATTTACATCTGATATACAGTGCTTAAGTTTAAAATGTAGAGTAATTATAAGCACAATTCATCTAATTATCAACAAAATTTCAAACAAAATTCTAACAAGATAGTTTCTTAGAAATTATCTTAATTATCTTAAATTCTTTAAGATTTTTGGTCTCTTTAATGAGTGAAGTATATGATTTAAAAAAATTTGATTTTTACTTTTAAAATTGTGAACTGTTTAAAATATTTTTGAAATTTTTTAACTCTATGTGTATGTAGTTCCATAATGTATATGATTAAAATTTGTTACCTGTAAAAGAACACTAATAGGATGTCGGCCACATATTGTATTACCATATTTTTTAAGGTAATCAGTAAATATTATAGGATTTAATGTTTCTATGATGTCCATACCCTGTGAATTTTTGTATAAAAAAAAGTGTAAAAACTATTTATAGTAGTATATAGCAATACAAACACACATTATTTAAACAGTTATTTAAAAGTAAAAATATTTACAAATAGATAATCATAATATTATATTTAAATTTTACATACCATCTTGTCAAGATTTTGAATAGATCTATGAATAGGACCACACGACCTATCGTAATAAGTATAACGAAAACGTTGACCCCAATGACAAAAATCTGAAGATATAATAAATAATGTTTGTGGATCAGCCATATATGGTGCTAATAATCTTCCATAGAGTGCTTCTTTTTCTGGACTTAATGAACCCACCAATATAGGAATTATTGTGAAAGAATCTTTAAACCTATATTCACACCAAATTTGAAAGTAAGAATTTATAATAAATATATTAAAACAATTATACACATACTTTATACAATATAATAAATTTAAAAAATATAATAATTTTACCCTTCCATAACTTTTGCAATAAATGGTAATTGCATTTCAATGCTGTGTTCTTCTTCATCTGTATTTAAATCCATCCATTCAAAATGTCTAGTTTCTTCAAGTTCTCTGTATACTGTCACATGAATAGAAACCTATATTTGAACTAGTCTTTGATAGTAATTCATATTTATAACTTCATTAAGTTTTGTCTTGAATATAAAAATAATTGTATTCAAATTCTAATATTTTATATCATAGATTTTGTACCTTGTTGATCAATATGTAAATCATACAATGGTGTTTGATAAATTGAAGCAGAAGAAAGAGCACAGCCTGCTAATCTGACATGATGTGATGGGCCAAGAATAAAAATTCTGCGTCTACATAATAATAATACATTATATATTTAATCCTTTATCTTAAATAAATATAATAAATACACAAATAAAAATATAAAAAAGTAACTAATTATTTTATTTTTATACATTATTACATAATTTACTTATATATATTATTACATATTTACATTATTTGACTGATAACATTAAATTATAAATATGTAAAAATTAAATCATTAATTGCATTTCAAATATATATTTACATATATATGAAATTCATATAAAAATTTAGAAATTTGTAATGAATTAAAAATACTTTTATATAAACATTGATAAATTATATTGGTTATTAATTTATATTCTTAAATTTAATATAAAAAATCATTTCGTGATATAAAATATATGTTTTATAAAAACTTGAAATTATTATTAAAATAATGAATGCATTGCTCATATAAAAAGATAAAATGAATACTTCCATACTTTTTTAAAATTTTGTAAGTGAATTTTAACTTTTATTTTGTTATGAAGTGTATATAAGAAATATGAAATGCAAATAAAAATTTGTTTTATATTGTATAGGATAAATGTTGCGTTGTCCTGTTAAATATTATCTTATTAGAGAAAGAATTCATTAAAGAACTTACACAACTACAGGACTAATCTGGCGATAAGCAAAACCAGCACATGCTCCACAATAGCTGTAACCTGCATGTCTGTGGAATTTTGTTTGTATTTCAATAAATATTTTTTAATATAATCAAAAATGATTCTAATGTACTATAATTACTGACGGTGCAATAATTGCTCTAGCAGGTCCATGTGATAAGTCTGCTGCACTCAACCAACCTTCTAATTGTTTATTTAACTCCAATCCTATATAAAACATTGAAGATACATATTTTAAAAATATAGTGCTAATTATTAAAATTAAAATATAAACTAATATCATATAAAATTATATTAAAATTAAAATTATTAATAAATGTCTTAAAGTATTATACAGTTTTTAAAATTAAAATTTATAATTTTTTTGGAGAAAGTATATTATAATACATAGTAAACTATCTACTTAGTAAACTATTTATTTATACTTTTATTTTTTAATTGAAAAATTTAGAAGTTATATTTATTTTATTAAAAACGATAATGAGACTTTGATAAAATGAATTTACTTTAATAAAATATAGTTTAATTATTTACATAAAGATAGATAATGTCACATTTTCAATATATAATATCCAACAAATTGTATAATATGGTTTAAATATAATAAACAAATAACAAAAAAAATAGGAATATAATTTTGTAGTAATATAATTAAATCATTTAACTTCAATCAATAATTGTTAATATTATAGGCTATTAATTAATAGTATTAATGAAACATGTAAAATTCTAAATATACATGTAAATTAATGGCATTTAAAATATTAAGACTCTGAACACTTGAAATTATTTAAAAATACATTTATTATTCAATAGCATATAAAACAAAAGGAGAGAATATATTTGTGTGTGTGTGTGTAGATTTATTTATTTATATAAAATTGATCATACTTATATTATATAAATTTAATTTGTTTCAAGATTAAAATTTCTTAATTTTGGTTAATTTTTATGTATAAGTTTATTGCAAGTGCAATAAATAAATATCTTATTTAAAAATAAATTATAGCTTTCGTAATCGTGATTTATTAAAATACAACTGATTACATATTATTTTACAAAATACTCGAAATGTAAAAATCTTGGCAAAATTGAAATAATTATCAATAACAGACGTAACAATTAAATCAAATGATTAATTTAAACACTATTAGATTATGTTAAAAAATATCGAATTTTAGATATACAAATTTGTTATTATTTGTCAACATATGTTGTTGCCATAGAATATACAATTATGTGTGTATACAAGAGAAAATAAAATATAATAGGTAACTACTATAAAATTATAAATAACCATTATTAAAACTAAATAAATTATAAATATAATTTAAATACTACTTACCAGAACCTGCATACCAACTACCAGCATGAGTTGCTCTTCTAATTAATGCCATTTCTCACTTTATTACACTAATTTTTATCTTCCGTATCCACTTTTCACAATAAATATTTTTTTAATTTATTACTAGTTTTATAAATGATTTATTTAGAACGCCGTCGTTTAATCCTACTTATGTACAAAATATTTATAAAACGCTATCACAAAACTTAACTTTTACTTAGCCATGAACCATGCGCTTTTAATAACGTTGAATAGTACATTCTCAATACTAACGAAGTCTATATTTTGTTGAAATAATAAAAGAAGAAGTAAGTATTTCAGAGATTTATATATTGGTTTATCTTAAATTTAAAAAGAAGCTTGTTAGATTTTTCTTTTATAATTAAATTGAGTAATCAAAGTTTTTATACATCGCAAGTTTAAAATACAGAACTTTACTAAAATAGTGCTTTTAGTAATAAATCAAAAGTATCTTCTATTGTAAAATTAATCAAAATGTTTTAATTAATTTAAGATAAATAAAAAGCATATAAAAAGTGAAATAATATTATTTTTTATAATGTAACCAAAATAATAATATACAATATTAAAATAAAGCAATACATATAATATAAAACAAATAATTTTAAAGGGAATTTAATGTTTTATACATATATATTTTTTAAATATATGTTTAAAAGAAGAAACAAATTTATGTAAAATTTTAACAATACTTTCCATTCAAAATATAATTTTATATCCTTTTGCAAAAAATTTATAAAAAATAATGAAGGTAGAATCATTACTTTTATGCAAATAAAATCTAATATTTTAATACAATTTTTTAGAAAGTTTTATTTCTCAACAAATGTCATACATATAACTATCAGACGTAAATAACACTATTATCTCTATTGTGAAAATAGCGTAAAATATTATTTACTGAATATTTCATATATTTTGTTAATTATAAATTGTAACATTCATTTAATTATAGTCTTATAGGATAATAATCCCTATGATTTCAAACAATGGATTGGATGTCATATTGAAATCTTAGATTTTTCGTATTGAGTATTATATATATTTCATTATAACCAATACTTTCTACAGAAAAATGATTTAAATATAAAGAAGAATAGCTGCAATATTGTTTCAATGTATTTAGTAATTAACAAGTTTAAATTTTATTTTATACTATTCTATTTAAGATAGTAATCATATTTAAAGCAATGTTCTAGGGACCATGATAAACATTTCGATAGTCATATTCAAGATTAAAATTTGACTGCTTATTAAAATATATTACATAATATGAATATATTCCTAGTAATGCAATTAAATATGTAATATTTTTAACAAATGTTAGAATTACATTTAGTTTTTAATTTCTATAGTAATTATTTTAGTATTGAATTTGAATATCATCGTAGAAATGGTTATAATGGCAGAAATTCGTGTCTCTAGTGTTGTTTAAGTTTGTGAAACTGAGTGACAAAACAGACGTCTATTTGTTAAGAATATTGTAATGTGTATAACAGTTTGATCTATTGGAACAGTTTATGGAAAAATCTTTTTTCTAGATGAAATACTAATAATTGAAAACAACGTTTTCCCTATCGTATTCATTCCAAGTCAACATCGACGTTTTTGTGTTTTTTTTACGTTCATTTACTTTGTTTATTATGAATTTGATGGATTTTTTCGTGCACTAACTTAACAACGGATTCAATAATATAGGTAATTAAATTTAGTCTATTTTTTCTTCAATATTTTGATTATATAGATGTTATAACCTTTGCTTTCTTTGTGCTCGTTCTGATTTCTATCTTTACAATGTCAAAATCACCAACCCTTCGTTCAGTGTTTTTCCAAAATTCGTAAGTTACATGTGTAGTGTAATAGTGGTTGTAATTTTAAGGCACTAACAAAATATCTAAGAGAAAAGTTACCTAACTATTTTCGTTATGTTATTGTTATTTTTTGTAGCGATTGAAGTAACAAGTTATTGCCAGTATTAGTAGTTTAATATTGTATTAATTTTCCACCGTTATAGACGTAAAAATATAAAAATATTTAAAAATAATATTCAAATTAATTTGTAAGTATTTATAAAATATGTATGGCTAAGCAAATGTAAGTTTTAGAATATCATATATTATATGATATAAAAATCATGTTATTTATAACAAGTTTTATACAACATAAACATCATGTTATTTAAAATCTTTATATTTTAGTTTTTAATAAATAAGTAGATTTTTACAGAATTAATCTTTATAAAAGTATTTTTTATTAGAAAAATAACTTGTTTATAAAATGTAAAAATTTATTGCAATGTTTAAATAAAAATTAAAAAATAATATAATTTTCTTTTATAGTATATTGTACTATAATATACAATTAGCTATTTATATAAGTAAATTAAGAATACAACAAATATTTTATATATAAGAATATAACTTATATGCATATGTAAATATTTTGGAGTAATGCTTAGATAGCATCTTCATGAAAATAAATTCTTCACTTGCCAATAGGTCCATTCTCATTTCCTGTCTTCGATTTTGATATGACCATTGCCATGGTGCTGTGATAAAGAGGTAAAAATTAAATAAATACAACTGAAATTAAACAGTTTTTAATAGTAATTAATAATGTATTATTTCTATCATAAAGTTTTTGTTTTTATCTCATCATTACAGGTTGCTACTAGGAGTTATTGTCATGGATTTTCTTCAGTTCCATGAAATAGAACAACTTACAAGTGATGCAATAGAAAACAAGTGATTGTGGTAATTGACATAAAAGTGTGTTGGTGTGCCCTAGCAGGTACTTTGTAGTGGAGCCACCAGGCTATGGCTAACCTGAACTTTGAGCAACCACCACGCAGTATTGCGAACGCAAGCCTTACATCGCGCACAGGTGGTGGGGGGGGCTTAAATTCATCGACCCTTACGGGTCATGTCACACCTACCTCGGGCATGTTCTCAGGCTCATCTGCAAGCACTTCCAGTTCAGCTAACTCTGCGGTAGTAGTTACTAACGTTTACCCTGGAGCATCAGGAGCAGGAGGTGGACAAAATAGTCATCAACCTCAACAGCAACAGCTCTCTCCTATGAGCAGCAGAGGACTGTTTGGGCAGAGAGCTTTTACAGATAGACGTACAATGCCTGCTCTTGGGTTAGTTTTCCCATTCCACGTAGTTAGAATTTTCTGTTTTTTGTTATAATATTAATGTTATAGTATTTTTTGTTATAATATTGTATATTTTGTTGTATGTCTGTTGTATGGTAATACTTATGAAAACAATGAAAATATTAATAAAAATTTATAGAACCTCAAATCCAATGGGTAGCATGGGCACATTTGGAATACCTCAAAGTCGTAATTACGGATCTCAAATCAATAATTTTCACTCTGTTTTTGGCAGTGGAGGAGGTGGAGATACAAGTACTCCTCCATTGTTGGATCTATCTGAGTTTCCTTCATTAACAAATAGAGGACAGGGTGATTCTATGCCACAACCTAGTCCTATGCCAGGGAAACAACCTTATGGTTTGTATTATAAAGTCAATTTTTTAAATAAAGTATGATTATTTTAATCAGTATTACACAATTTTTATGTATAAAAATTTAATAACTATAATGTTTACATGGATATTTATAATAATTATAGTTGGAATGGTAAAACAACCAACGTCTGAATCAAGCGAGTTTACAATGAGTTCTGAGGATTTCCCAGCATTACCAGGAACACAAAATAGAGAAGGGCCATCACCAGGTGGAAGTGTTTCTGGAGATAAAAACATACCTGTGGGACTTGGTCCTGAAATTGGACAAGATGTATTGCAGGCGAATAGAGCACCTGGATCTGAAAAGTCTCAATCATCTAAAAGAGGCATACAAACATCTCCCGATGGTATTGATTATTATAATATTGTATTCAATATAACTGTTTTTATAATGAATAGAATAATTTGATTTATTTAATATTATTGTGTTATAGTATTTTACTATTTATTATTTTTGTTTATTCTTTATGGTATATAACTATCTATTATTACATTTTTAAGGCAAAGTGACTAATATACCAGCCAGTATGGTAAAGGATCAGTTTGGAATAGTCGGGTTATTGACATTTATTAGGGCAGCTGAAACAGATCCAAATCTAGTATCTTTGGCATTAGGTCAAGATTTAACTGCATTAGGATTAAATCTAAATTCACCAGAAAGTCTTTATCAAAATTTTGGTGGGCCTTGGGCAGAAACACCATGTCGACCTCAGGATATCGATTTTCATGTACCACCAGAATACCTTATTAATGCCACCATCAGGTGCCTTATTTTATTATGCTGATTTTATAAGAATGATTCATTGAAGTAATTAAACTTGTATTATGTTTGTTTTAGAGATAAGCTAGCACCAGTTAAGCTAAATCGATACAAGGATGATCTACTATTTTATATGTTTTATACAAATGTTGGAGATGTGTTGCAATTAGCAGCAGCAGCAGAATTGTAAATATCTTTTATGTTAAAATTTATTAATATTTTCTTCTACTAAACATTTAATAATCTATATAATTCTTTCTGATTCATAAAGGTACAGTAGAGAGTGGCGGTATCATATGGAAGAAAAAGTTTGGATAACACAAGCACCGGGATTGGGACTTGTAGAAAAAACATCAACATATGAACGTGGTACTTATTATTATTTTGATGCGCAAAGTTGGAGAAAAGTAGCGAAAGAATTTCATTTGGATTATACAAAACTAGAAAGTAGACCTCATCTTCCCACAAACTTTCACCAAACCCAGCCTTGACTACAGGTATCTACAAAAATATATTTTTTTCTTTTTTTTTAAATTATTGCTTTTATAAAAAAAAAATATATATATAAATATTTTTACCAACAATTTATGTTTATTACAGATCTGCTTGCAGACCATTGTACTGTCTCTAAGCTGGACAGGAAACAGCTATTGTATAAATGAACAAATTTAATAATCTTTAATAAAAATATAAAATTTGAAGAGTACAGAAATGAAGTTCTTTAATTACTGACTTAATTAGAAATGGAAGTGAGTCTAATCTATTTGATATTAACGATTTTGATATACAATACCATATATTTTAAATATTTAGGTGCTTATATATAGAATGATGTACTTTTTGATGATATTATAGTAATCATTAGTATTTTGGCAATGTATATAATAAACATAACAAACAGTTATTACATTATTCAACAAAATTTTTATATTTAGGCAGCTCAAAATGCAATATGTCTATAAATTCTGTACCTACATAGTCATTTATTTTATACTTATATCATCATTTAGAGATGTAAATGAATTATTTTTTTCAGAAAGCAAATTTATACTTTGTAAGATGTTACAAATTAATTTGTTTTTATGATTTGTTAAAAATTGTGAGATATACTATGTAAACATATAAAAACTATTTAATTCAAAATTGTAAGTAATATGACAAATATCTTCGTCTAAAATCACAATTTACAAAATTTCTAAGTAACTTAAATTGTTTTCGACAGGTTTTAATTTTAATTAAATTTAATTACACAATAACCTTATCCTTATTGTATATATCATTCGAAAATTTAGAAATGTAAAATAAAATTTGTTTAAAACGCATAAAACGGAAACTACAAAAGTGAGATACTAATAAATGAACTTTTTAAGTTTAAATGTATTTTATTTCTAAATTTTTTAGCAATATCATATGTTGTAAAACATGATTAAAGTAGATCTATATACTTTTCTTAAACTTAGCCAATTTTACTATTTTAAGAACACCATTATCTAAATTAAGACTTATAAATATAAGTTATAATTTTTTAAAGAAATATTTTAATATTTTGTGAGCACAGTAATGTGTTTGGCTAGTCATTCAATCTCTGATAACAGTAACTATAATATTTGTATGAAACATCACGATACTTTTCCTAAAAGAACACAACTTATTTCTAAAAGCATTAATTTTAATAATTATACAACACTAAGTCATGAAAACTTCAAACTGCTAATTCGGGAAGAACTTTATTCTTTTGAATTTTATGTTGAATAAACGAATACCACTAATATTAAATTTATTAAAATTCATTACATATGACTCAATTCCATTTCTAACTTATAATTGTACCGTTGTTTAAAATACATTTTCCTATGTTATATAACCTTACTATTTGTATAGTTCCCATAAAAAATAATCTTAGAAAAAAATTATACAAATTTTTGCAATTGTGAAATTTATCTTATAATTTTTTGTGTTGTATAGAAAAATTAATTATATCTTCAGAAGCGTTTATAAAGTAGTTTTCAATGTAATTTTGACTGTGTTTTTCGCATTCATTTAGGTAGTATCTGTTAAAAAAAATATTTAATTAAATATAAAATATATTAAATAAATTAAATTTTATTTTAATTACAGATTAAATTACCTATAGTTTACCATAATTCCACAGCTATTTGCAGCACCACGTGGTGAAGGATCAGCCAACCAATTTATTCTCCACATAACAGCTCCATTACGAAGATGAAAATTTGCTACAATCAAAAAACATTAAGTTTATATCTATCTTTTTAAAATTTATTTTATAACAATCAACATACCAACATTATTTAAAGCATAATTTCGTCTCTTTTCTTTATATAAATACCAAGCACATGCTCGAAGCAATGGCTTTTTTAAAACATGGCATATTTCAACATTCTGTGTCCATAATGAATTACTGAACATTTTTTTTAAACCAACAGCAACATTTTCTTCCTTTAATACCTTTTGTACAGATTTATATTCTTCATTTGTAAAAATATTTTGTATATCTAAAAGAAATTTGTATTAAGATATAGTGTTCTGATTATTTTTTAATTATATATATATATTGATATTGATATTGATATTAATAAGTTTTATAACTGTCTTAAATGAATTATAATTACCTTGTTTTATTTTTTCTAAAAGCCAAGTTCTAAAATTTGGAATTGGTGATAAGGTGGACAATTTGTGAACCATAGGAAATTCTGTTATTACCTCATTTGCTACTTCTTTTATCAAATAGTTACCAAGTTCAATACCCTAAAAAACAGAGTAGTCATAGCTTTTATTTATATGTTCCGTAAATAAACATTACTATGTACATACTTTTAATCCTTTTTGTGTGCTAGTTATTGAATAAAATATTGCAGTCTTTATTTTATGTCTGTCTTCTTCTAAAAATGTTATTTCCTTTTTTGAATTACCAAGAATTCTGACCTTTGCTTCTTCAATACCTTTTACACTATCTGTATATTTACAATATATTTTATGTTACTGGATAATATTTATGATATGTTTGTTCTATATCATACTATGTTGTTTATTATGGGAGTATACCTGGTATAATGTCACATAATGCTGTATGTAATACAACAAGAGGTTCTCTTGGCATAGATGGATGAGTAAATATGTAACATCTTCTATATGGCCCAACTCTTTGCTTCAAATCTAACCAATTTTTTATAGGATGTATTGCTTCATAATCTGAAATCTTATTACTTTCAATTAACAAACAATATAAAATATTTTATATTATTATTTACTAGTCATTTTATTTTTAAAAAGTAATTATACAAAAAAATCTATAAATATATACCTTTTGTAAAATATCACATGAACTCTGCCATGTTATTCTTTCTAAATGTAGAAATCCTACTGAAAACCACAGTAATAATAAATCTTGTAGAATAACATTCAATTGCTGCATTGCAATATTATCATTAGTATCTTCAATTTTTAGTATTAATTCCTAATAAAAATATTTGTGTAAAGACAAATAATGTATTCTATTTATATATAATTTAATGTTTAAATATTTTGTCACAAATCTTTGAAAAGTAATAACCTTTCAAATATTTAAATATTTAAATATTAATATTATCATTAAAATTAAACTTAGTCCTATCAAATTGCTTACTAATATATCTGTCCTCAAATCAACCAGAAATTTTACACCATTTTCAAGTCTTCCAATTATGATAAATAACCATTGGTAATCTGGTGTTAGAACATTTTTTAGATATCGTTCATAAGAAATCGTACGTCTGTCATTATCAGACTAAAATAAAGGAAAAAAATAGAACTTAAATTTTTCATAATATTAAAATTAATAACAATTTAGTACTTAATACAATTAATAAAAATTGAATTATTATTAAAAGTATATCTTGTTCATATACTTTATATACCTAAATTATAAAACTTAGTAATATACAAACCTTTGTAGTCATAAATTTCTCTATAACATTATATACAGCAATATGTTGAATACCATATTTAAATGCTAATGTATATAAAATTTGTTCCTTGTCTATTTTAGTACTTTCTTGGTATACGTTACATAAAATACGAGCTTTGCCCTAAAATAAATTTGCAATTTTACTATATTACATAGTAATTCTATTAAAATTGTATGTAACATTTAAATTTGTTAATTAATACATATATATATCAATACTATTATAATACATTAATTAATACACACATTATTGCTTGCTATATTGATTATAATAAATTATAACATTCGTATTTATATATTTTTGTATAAAATGCTTCTTTTAATTTATTAAATAATATTACCTGTGAATGTAATTTTTGTGTATCAAAATACAATAAAATATATTACATGAATAATAATCTCATCAAATATATTATAAGTAATGGTAAATATTTGATATAAATAATTTCATAAAAGGTTTAAATTAATACATTATATTGAAAAATAAACGTAATTTTTAAATTACAAATACTTTTATTATTATAAGTTACATATATTGCACTCTGTGTATTATAATTTATATTTACATTGATTATATTTGGATGTAAGGCAAATAATTTTCATTTATTTTAGTTTTGTTTTTGTTAATAATTATTCTCAAATAGTAAAAATAATTTTTAAACATGCAAAAATTCTAACATATTTAAAGTATAATTTTAAAATATTCACTAATATATTTTCAAGATATCTTTGCTGTTTATTTCTCAACTATTCTTTATTACTTTAGATTAAATAACATGTACAAAATAATAAATAATAATTTGTGTTACTAACCTCAATAATCCAATTACTAACATTACTATTTCTAAATTTAAAAATATCTTGTAACTGTTTTTCGATAAAATTATTTTCACAAGACATAGAAATGGCACGTAAGTTTTGTATAAGAAAAGACTTAAAAATTTTATGTATTGTACTACAATTTAAAATAAATTTATTATTATAAATGTTAATTAAATTTTTTAAACGAATGTTTTTGAACATCATATTTACTATTTTAAAATGTCATGAAAAGGCTAATAAATATTTTAATTATTTAAAATTATGAAATTGATTTTGGAAGACAACTGTTTTTTTTAATTAATTAAATCCTTCAGTATTTTTACCGAATTTTATACATAATTTTTGTATTGAATTTTAGATGAAAGAAATATGATTAGATAGCATTAAAATGCAAATTAATTTTTTGTATATACATTATGACTTCCGGTCAATTAGAAAACTAAATTATAATTTCTATACAAACATTTCATATATAATAAACTGAGGAAGAATTCAAAGATTTTTTATAATATACGAACACATTTTTTTCATTTTTATATCTCAAAGATGCACTCTAAGCAATACTAGTTAATTAATCTAGAGAACTTAGTTAAAAATGGAATTGTAGTTTTGATTACAATTATAGCATAATAAAAGGAATGAAATAAAATATAAAAAGATTTTTCAATAGCTTTTAATTTTTTGTTTTTATTTTTTGTAATAAATGTAATATATTGTCAAAAAATTGGTATAATATTATACAGTTGGCAATCATTAGTACTAAAATGGTGTTGTAGTTGAAGACATGATACGTATTTAATTGTAGATCGATTAAAAACAAATTTACGAAGTGTGCATGTTTTCACAAATAAATGTGACCTTTTTTTAACATACAGAATGCAGATAGTGCACTTTTCTTGGGGTCTCATTTGGTACATTTTGTCTATTTGTCAAGGTAATTTCACTATATGTATTTTATTTTCTGTTATAATTTTTCAGTTTTGTAGTTACATCTATTACTGATATCTTAGTTTTTGATAAGTTTCAAATATTTTATTAGCTTCTTTGTATTGCAGTCAATGCTGTCACATATAATATTACACTGTCACATGATGGCCCTGTAGTATTAGGTGGAACTATTATATTTAAAGCTGATCTCTTTGCCAATGGTGAAAGGCCATCAGGAATATTTAAATATAAATGGAGTGATAATGCATTAGATTCTCATGTGTATGAGGTTAGCTCCTTTTTATCCAATTATTTATTGAAATTAATTACCAATTTTTAAGTAACTTCTAAGATACAAAGAGTATAGTTTTTTTCTATATGAAAAAAGTTTCATCAAAGTGTATATTCTTATAATGAAATATTGCATAAATTTAATAGTCCAAAGACTTTTTATTATAGTGTTTATATTGAATACTTATACTTGTTATAATATGCTATTTTTTTTTTTTATAAAGGTTCTTATTATTACATGATAAAATGATTTTTATATTCCAATGTTAATGTTAATAAATAGTGTCAATATAATTATAAAAAGATGTTTTTATAATATATCAAACATTACATATTAATCTTTTATATATAATTTTGATCTTCCATAGACAGGAGCAACATCAAATACAACAACATACTGGAGTTTAAATATTGCACACAATAATTATACAGTTGGAATATATGAAGTAGAAATAATAGTTTTTGAAGAAAATCCAATTTGGTGGTCAGATATTACTAGTGCTCGTACTAAATTTTATGTTACTCGTAAGTTAAGACTTTTTTAATATCACTTTATATTAACTATTTAACTATTGTATATTAACTTAATATCTACTATTTATAGAATTTCTTAATGGAGATATTAAAGTTATACAACCTAACAAAACATCAATGGATACATCATATGTCTCATCAGCATCTGAAGCAAATGTGACGTTAAATATAAGGAAAGGAGATATGGATTATTTGATGAAAGCTACAACAGTATCCATTTATTGGTTTATAGATTGCAAATATTTTGGTCAAACAAATGATTTAAACTTTCTCTATAATTTTACAAATCCTGATGCATCACATATGTTAGAAACTTTAGTAGTTGCCTCATATGATCCACCAACAACTTTACCTCCAACAACTACTTTACCAGTAATGACAACTATTCCTTCTAATACATCTATATCAAATGTTACAATATCAAATATTACAATGGAAGAAGTGGTGACTACTACTGTATCTAGTAACACTATGCCTATGGTAACACCAGTATCACTAAATAATGCAACAAATAGTAGCATTTCCAGTGTAAATAATATTTCTTTACCTTGGATCTGTTCTTCAATAATTCCTCCAGATCCTAATAAGACATATGGGCACTTTACTAAAAAGATCGATGTTCGTGGTAATTGTTATATTATATGACTACATATGAAGTAATGTATATTATAATATAAATTATAATAATGTATGTGTATAAAAATTGTAGCACCTATAATGAATATAACAGTGGAGGGAACGAATTGGATTCAACCATGGGATATGTTATCTCTTAATGTAACATGTAAAGGTTCTGGACCGTTTGATAAGTGCCTTTATTTTCATAGAGGAAAATATAACATTACTGGAAATGAAACATGCAGTAGTGGAATTAATCTTTATTCTTGTAATTTTTCCATCATCCATTATTTCTTGGAACCTAGTGTATATACAATATTGATTATATTAAATAATGATGTCAGTAAACAAATCTATCCTTTGACAATAAATATTTACAAAGGTATATGTCTTAATACTAATAATAATAATAATAATAATTTAATAATAATAATAATAATAATAATAATAATAATAATAATAATAATAATAATAATTACAATAACAACAATAATAATACAAACAATACAAATTTCGATTTATCATAAAATTAAAATTAATTACTTTGACTACAACTTTAATTATATTTTATAGTGACAACAAAGCCGCAATTATCAGTAATTGTGTTACCTGTTTCTTGCTCACTTGCTGCTGTGGTACTCATTATTTTTGGTATTGCATATTATATACAAAGTAGAGCAAGATTCACAGTGGAGGTCGCAGATTTTGACTTCGGTCAGAATAATCCAGAAATGGAGTACAAAACATTCACCGAACGGTTACGAGATTCAATTAATAACGCCATAAGACCAGGATGCAAACGGATAAGTGTACGCCAGCCCTATTATGGCAGCATGAATCACTAACAAGTACAGATTGTACAAAATACATACTTTTTGATTGCCAATGACAGTCTTAATCATACATTGCATTATAATATTAATATGTACTAATGTGCGATGTATATTAGTATTTTGATAAAATCATGCGAATTATCTTCATTAATCCTTGACACAGAATGACTGTCGGGTAGAGAAAGGCAGTCCTATTAAAAATTAAACTTTTATAAAATTTTTATTTCATATTAGTGAGAAGATTTTTATAATAAGAATGAATTCAAATGTAGCTTAATCAAATTATTTTATGTTGAATAAGATTTGATTTTGATAATAATATACATTCTTATTAAATATAAAATATTCTATTTAAAGTCATGTTTGTGTTCATTTTTATTAATAAGATCTTACTAATTGTGTAAAAGTTCGTTATTAGCATGAAAAATAAAATTGGAAACTCTATATGATATTTACTAGGAGCATTATTCTTGTATTAAGTTACATTTTTCATTGCACTTGTATTTTGCTAATGTCAGTTAAAATATTTTGGCATTGTCCATTTGTAAGTATCCTTTTTTATTTGAATGGTGCTGTTAGTTTTGAAATATTACTGTATTCCTGTTATTTTCATTGATAAATTACTCCTGCATTACCATTACTACCTCAAGTATATTTCTTATTTTTTTGTGTATATGCTTTCTGTTACACTTATTTGTACTTTCACATAAATTACTTTTAATATTATAAAGTAATACAAATTTTGTAAATTTCAGGGGTACAAGCCTCTTAGTAATTCTCAAAATCTTCAGTGATGTTTTAAATGAAAAAAAAAAAAAATCGAATTATTAAATACTAAAATGAGAGGCTATGGAAAATTAAAAAAATGAAAAGAAATTAAACAAACTGGAATATTATGAGGATTTCAAAATCATATTCTACGACATTTTTAAGTATCAAATAACTTAATCAGAAAATTATTAATACTATATTACTAATAATGTGAGTTTATTCATTCCAAGTAATTTACAAATAAAATTAAAATTGTATATAGAATAAATAAAGATTTTATATATAGGCTGTGAACATAGTATGGAATGAAATATTGCTTTTGATGTTTTGCAAAAGTAAGTTTGTAACATTAGTTTTTAATATTTTTTTTTTAGAATTCTAATATTGTGAAATCTTATAAAACACATGTCTCTACTTTTAATGTGTTTAATTTCGTGTTATTGGATTCATGTACTACATAACTCTTATATTACAACAAAAATATTGGTAAGCACATAATTATATAAGCATGTAGATTACAATTTAAAAAATTTGGCAAATAAGAAAAAATAATACATATTTAAATAATATATCTTGTAATGCGATTTTTCTGTATGTGTATGTGTTATACGCATATATATACAATTTATACATTCGTATATAGTATTAAATTCAATTAGATGGTTAAAATATTTAAAATAAAGTATTTAGTTAAAACTATTTACGAAAATGGGTAAGTTAGAATGTGATTTCAATGATTTAATTATAAAGTGACCTACTAAATAGTATTGAATAAATAAAGATGTTCTTGTACAAGTTATAGTTGTTATTATCTATCTATTATATACTATATATATTATACACAATTGTTATACATGTGATATATTCTTTTACTTATAATATATACAAACGAAAAAAAGTTAAAGTCTAATGTGGGTAACAGGTGGCACCATCTGCACATGATTATTGTAACTAAAAAATCTGCGCGTTCGTGAGAGTTCATTGGTAATATCGTTAGGGATGTAAGATGGCGGCCGATGAAGTAAACTTACGAAATTGTGCGTTGTTAAAAGACGTTTGTGCTTTTGTCGTTTATTGAACATTGTCAGTTCATAGTTTCAATCCATGTTTATGTAATATCGATTTAAGATTTTTAATCACCGAAACGTGTCTCTCGAAAAAGTATAATATAAACTTTTCCCGAGTCACGGGTTTACAATGTCTGTAATTGCCTCAAAGCCATGCCACGAGGAAGAGAATTTGAAATCGACGGAGGAAGATGATTGGAAAATGCAGCTTGCATTTTGCAAACCACGGCATACTGCAACAATTGAAGGTATAAGCTGTATTACACAGACATGGAGGATGAAAGAACGGGTTTGTTGATTTTTTTCTTTACTCCTTAACAACTCATACACGCTAAAAAATTACGTACTTGAATCTAAACAATAATTTTTTAAATTTATATTTTTCAGATGAAAACTGTGAGCGTAGCTCTAGTTTTATGTTTAAATGTTGGCGTTGATCCACCGGACATTGTCAAAACGCAACCGTGCGCACGTCTCGAGTGTTGGATCGGTATTTATTCTAGTTTATTTACATCCCCACAATTCCCCGCTGCCATTACCATTATGTAATGCTTTTTGAGGTTATGCATGTGCATGACAGCAGTTCATAAATGAATGCCATTTTAGTAAATAACAGCCTAGGTGGCGTTAGATTCATTATTAATTTTAATATTGTACATATCCTTCTTTAGTTTTTTATTTAACATTTTAAATATTTTTTTATATTTTGTATTATGTAATGTCGCGATTGTGAAAAATGATTTTATAATTTTATAAAAATGTAAATAAGAGTTGTTAAAATTGTTCATTGTGATTTTTAAGCAAAAGAATTCTAATACAAAATATTATATTATTTTTAATTATTTAGCTCAGATAACATAATTCTAATTGAAAAATTAATCAATTAGAATTAAAGTCAACAAAATTGTATGTTTTTTAATTTTATAGATCCTTTGTCAGTAAGCCCACAAAAAGCTTTAGAAACTATAGGTTCTAATTTACAAAAACAATATGAACGCTGGCAACCAAGAGCTCGTTACAAACAAAGTTTAGATCCAACTGTTGAAGAGGTTAAAAAATTATGTACGTCTTTAAGACGAAATGCAAAAGAAGAAAGAGTTTTATTTCATTATAATGGTCATGGTGTTCCTAAGCCAACTAGTAATGGTGAAATATGGGTATTTAATAGGGTTAGTAAAGTTAAACATTATTATAAATAATAGGTTGATATATGTTTTTAATCTTAAATCACTATTGCAGACATATACACAATACATTCCTTTGTCTGTATATGATTTGCAGACATGGATGGGTGCACCTAGCATCTATGTATATGACTGTTCCAATGCAGGTATTATTGTAGAGTCTTTTCAACAATTTGCAGAACAGCATGAGAAAGAATATGAGGTATATTTTAAAAAAGTTTTAATTAAAAATTGTTTTGTATAAACATATTGAGAATGTTACATTATAGATGGAAAAACAGGCAGTTCAGCAGAATCGTGCAACTGGTGTTGCAGGTGCTACAGCACCATCCTATAAAAATTGTATTCAATTGGCAGCATGTGCAGCTAAGCAGATTTTACCTATGAATCCAGATTTACCTGCAGATATATTTACATCATGTCTTACAACTCCAATAAAAATTGCATTGCGGTGGTAAGATAAAAATATGATTTATTGAAGATATATTATATTTTTTATAATATTTAAACATGTATTTTTTATACAGGTTTGTAATGCAAAATACATCTAAATTGGTACCAAAAATATCATTAGATTTAATTGATAAGTAAGAATATTTTAAATATTTATAGTATTCATATGTACAGTATTTTTTCCTTTTTATAAAATAAGCTAAAATCGTAATAAATTTATTTTAGAATTCCAGGACAATTGACTGATAGAAGAACAATGTTAGGAGAACTTAATTGGATTTTTACAGCAATTACTGACACAATAGCGTGGAACACATTGCCAAGAGGTAAATTTGTTTAGTATAATTATCTCTAGATTGTACAACTTTAAACATTTAATATATTTGGTTTATAGATTTATTTCAAAGATTGTTCAGACAAGATTTATTAGTTGCTAGCTTATTTAGAAATTTCTTACTTGCTGAAAGAATACTTCGTTCATATGATTGTACTCCAGTTTCTTGTCCAAAATTACCACCTACTTATCAGGTAAATAAATTTTAAAACTATAAATTATATTTTATAACAAAAAAAAATTATAATTTTAATATTTGTCCAAGAGAGATGTTTTTAATGTACATATATATCTATATATATTTATCTATATATATTTATTTGCCATTGATTTAGCATCCTATGTGGCAAGCATGGGATTTGGCACTTGATCTCTGTTTAGCACAATTACCATCTATCCTTGAAAATGAAGATCAATTTGTGCATTCGCCATTTTTCGAAGAGCAACTAACAGCTTTTCAAGTATGGCTTACACTAGGCTCTAAAAGTCGTAATCCTCCAGAACAACTGCCAATAGTACTACAAGTATTATTAAGTCAAGTTCATAGACTAAGGGCATTGGAATTATTAGGACGTTTTCTTGATCTTGGTCCATGGGCAGTGAACTTGGCTCTTAGTGTAGGCATTTTTCCATATGTTTTAAAGTTACTTCAAAGTAATGCCAGAGAACTACGTCCATTACTTGTATTTATTTGGGCAAAAATTCTTGCAGTTGATAGTGTAAGTTTTAATATTAGAAGTTTAAAAATATTTGAATTTATATCTTAGATCTTTTTTAAATTGTTTATTATACTTCAGACTTGTCAAGCAGATCTGGTACGAGATGGTGGGCACAAATATTTTTTATCTGTTCTTCAGGATACTTCTATACCAGTATTACTATATATAATTTAATATATTGACAAATTTTCCAAATTTAGGTCTTTCATGTAAGCTTATTCTATTTTAGAGTGAACATAGAACATTAGCAGCATTTGTTTTGGCTAGCATTGTAAATGACTATCGTCCGGGTCAAATAGCTGCAAATCATGGTAGTCTTGTTTCGATTTGTTTGGAACAACTTGGAGATTCGAATGCTTTATTAAGACAGTGGCTGTGTTTATGTCTTGCAAGACTTTGGCATAATTATGACAAAGCAAGGTGGTGTGGAGTCAGAGATATTGCTCATGAGAAACTATTTACGTTATTACAAGATCCAGTTCCTGAGGTATATAATATGTATTGTTTATTTATTTAATATATTAATCTTTATACATAATGATAATATACTTAAAGAAGAAATAAAATTATATAGGTTCGAGCAGCTAGTGTTTATGCTTTGGGAACATTTATAAATAGTGTAACAACACGAAGCGAACATGCAAATAATATTGATCAAATCATAGCAATGACACTAATTAATACTGTGTCTCATGATATGTGTCCTTTAGTTAGAAAAGTATGTAAGTTTATTATATAATAATATATAACTTTGATTATAGATTTAACATTTCTAATATGCAAAAATATAAATTATTTTACAGGAATTGGTAGTAGCACTTCAATGGATGGTGTTACATTTTGAAAATTCCTTTGCGACCTTGGCATTGGCTGAAGAAAATAGTCGAAAAGACCTAGTAGTGGAAACATTATCACCATTTAGTGGAATGAGACGTATTAGTTCTAGGGATAGGTTAAAAATGCTTTCTCCAAACAACACATATAGTGCTGACAGTACAGATGGATTTGGTCAAGATCGTATTAAAAGAGTGTCGTCATCATCGTCTATTAGTAGTTTAGGTAAGTAATGAAACGTGTTGTTTTTAGCTAGAGTTACTAGCTTCATTGCCGGAATTTCGATAACAGTTCCTTGTATTGTTTCATTCGTGTGCCAGGAAATAATTGGGAGTTCGTGAGGAAACCTTGCGAGTCACTTGGTAATAATGATTGGAAATTCCATTGCATGTTCGTACATAGTTCATCCTTCATTTTTAGATTTTGTAACTTTTAATTTATAGCTAATGCTATATCACTATTTTCTTATTTACAAGCACATTATCGTAAAGACCAGATATTTTACTATATTAAATACAAAGTACTACAACTAGTGTTTTATTATTTGTAGGAC